GAGAAGGCATCTTATATAGCAATGACAGGCTTTATCAAATATAAATCCAGAATAATTCATAGGTTATAATTGTCTGTACAATAGGTATTATCTTCTGCAGATGCTGTTATGGAGACAGGTAGCTTCTGAAGATTTATTTATTTATTAAAGATTTATTTACTTATTTATACAAGCACTGAGTACAGTCAGAAGCGCAGGAGAGTGAGAGAATTCACCAGAGCCAGAGCAGGGAGCAGAACAGACAGACTGATGAAGTACACTGCTGAGGGGAGCAGCGGGCATGGCAGAAGGGATTTGTCGCACCATGTGGGACCCTCGCCCGGTGGCCAGGGATCGAACTGGCGCTGTAGAGGCTTCAGGCAGCTTCCCAGCCCAGTGCTCAACCGCTGTGCCACCAGGGGAGGCCTGAGATAGGTAGCTTCTGAAAACTGACTTTTTTTTTTTGCTATGGTCTTTGCAGTCCTTGTTTCACATTCAAGTCTTTTTTTTTTTTTTTTAAAGATATATTTATTTATTTATACAAGCACTGGGTACAGTCAGAAGCACGGGAGGGTGAGAGAATTCACCAGAGTGGGGAGCAGAGCAGGCAGAAGGACCGAAGTACACTGCTGAGGGAAGCAGCAGGCAGCAGGAGAGGTCTGCGTGCCATGTGGGACCCTCCTCCGGTGGCCGGGGAGCAGCCGGGGATCAAACCGGCACTGCAGAGACTGCGGGCAGCTTCGCAACCCAGCGCTCAACCACTACGCCACCGGGGAGGCCCTCACATTCAAGTCTTAACCCAGCTCTGCTTAGTATGAGATCCACCATTTTCACCTGTCTTCCCTTTACCTAGCTAAGCCATGATCTTTCATCTTCATGAATTCTTCCAAATTTCTGTCTTCTCCCTTTAGTTCTTTCCATGCTTTCCCAAAATATAAACTTGAAATTTCATAGCGCTTTTCATGATTTCTTGGTAATAATTATCTTCATCTTAAGTAGTGTATACCAACTGTCTAACACTTGCCTGATTTTAGTTAAACATCATGAGTCACAGAAAATGGAATTAGGTGAGTGGAATACATTCATAATTGAAGTTATATTCCACCAAAATCATTTAGGGATTGTATGCAGAGTAATTATTTATTCATCTGTTTTGCTAACTACTATGAACTACAAAGGGTCAGAAGTCATATCTCGGTCATCTTTAGATAGCTTAGCTAAGCCTGAGATATAACCTGGTACATTAGAATAGCTCAGTCTGTGTTGTCTCTGTGGATGGCTATAGTGCCAGGAAGGGCACAGAGCAGTTTTCCTATGATGGGAGCAGATGAGATGGGTAAAGGAGGAGTCCTGGAGCCCTTGGTGGCTTTCTCAGGCTTTTATGGAGCTTTATATGTGGTGCAGCAACCAGGTACACAGCAGGAAGGGATGTCGGGGGTCCAGGAGGCCAGCAGACCTCCAGGCCCCCAGCAAGTCTTCACTCTGGGCTTCTATGGCATTTTTTCTCCACTTCTCTCCAGTTTGTCTCCTGCTTCTCCTTCACTTGGTGAATAACTCAATACTGCTGCCATGGCCCACAGAAGTAAACAATATAACTTATAACAATGTAATAAAATGTAGGTGCCCTATCAGGAAGCGCAATCCTAATGGATGAGGGCAGAAAAGCCTGAAAATCATTTATTCTACAATGGCTAAATAAATTTATGAGATGCTAAAATGGAAGACACAAAGATGCATGCCACAAGTATTATACTGGAAATTTCAGCACAAACCTAGTTGACTATATACATTTATTCTGGTTGGCATCAATGGAAAACCAACAACTACTTAGGCCATAACTGACTCAAGCTGTTTTACCGAAAAGGCAAAGATAATGACCTCTTCTATGCCAATACACACACCTAGAAAAAGTTCCCAGTGAGAATAAACTTTGATTTAAAAAGAGAGAAAAACAAAGCATTAGTTGAAATAGGTTATAATAAGGCAGTTTGTTAAAGGCTTAATTATCCACACCCCCTGAGTGGAGGGTATGATGTTATGGTGAAGGAAGAAATCATAAAACTTAGCAGCAGGGGTTCATCTTCTCAGGTATTAAATAGGTAATTAATCTTAACTGCAAGAGGCAATTAAGCTGCACTCAATAAGGTGAGGATTTTAGACTCACCGTCAGAGCAAAACTTTTAGCCAAAGCAGAATTGAAGAGACAGGAGAATAAAATAAATGACAAACTATGAATTTTTTTTGAAAAATACATTAATCTTCATAGTATTTCTATATTAATCTGTATTGTTTTGGAGAAATTGAGCTTGTATCTGAGATAAAATTTTACTTTCCTTTTTCAGAAAAGCTCTGGATTTTTATTTTTGTTTTTTCTGCATAGCCATACTGCTGTAGATGCCAAAAATGTCACTTTAATTTTATATGTTATAGGAATGTAACTTCAGAATAAATTATAGATATCTAAGCTGAAGGAGTCATTAGTAGGAACCTTTTTTTTTTTTAAATAATAAATTTTATTTTTATATTCCCCCATACAATTGCAAACGCCCCATTCTGACCCCAATCCTTCCCCTCCCACCCCTCACCCCCAAAAAGTGTCTCTGGTTCATAGTTTTTTGTTGATTTTGATTTTCACTTTCTTATATTCATTTTCCTGGTCCCTTATTTAAGTTTTCTAGATTCCTGCTATGAGTGAGACCATCCGGTATTTTTCTTTTTCTTTTGGCTTATTTCACTGAGCATGATCCCTTCCAGCGCCATCCATGTTGCTGCAAATTGCATGTGTTTATCTTTTTGAATGCTGAGTAATATTCCATGGTATATATGTACCACATCTTCTTGATCCAGTCATCTATTTTTGGGCATTTGGGTTGTTTCCAAAGCTTAGCTATTGTAAATAGTGCTGCTATAAACATAGGGGTGCAGGTGCTCTTTGGAATTGATGTTTCTGTGTCCTTTGGGTAAATACCTAGGAGTGGAATTGCTGGATCATATGGAAGCTCTATGTTCAGTAGGTCCAGAAATCTCCACACAGCTCTCCATAGTGGTTGGACCAGTTTGCACTCCCACCAACAGTGCAGAAGAGTTCCTTTTTCTCCACACCCTCGCCAACATTTGTTGTTGCTAGTTTTTTTAATATGTGCCATTCTCACTGGTGTAAGATGGTATCTCATGGTAGTTTTGATTTGCATTTCCCTGATGACAAGTGATGTTGAACATTTTTTCATATGTCTGTTGGCCATTTGCATTTCCTCTTCAGAGAAGTTTCTTTTTAGCTCTTCTGCCCATTTTTTGACTGGATTATTTTCTTTGTTGTTGCTGAGTCTCATCAGCTCTTTGCAGATTTTTGTGATCAGTCCTTTATCATTAGTGTTGGGTGCAAAAATGTTCTCCCAGTCGGTGGGGTTTCTCTTTGTTTTGTTATTGTCTCTTTTGCTGTGCAGAAGCTCTTTAATTTCATAGGTAGATGTGAAAATTAAACAAGTTAGTATGGAAAAACTTGTATGCAAATGTCTGACAAAAAGAAAGAACTACATGATAAGTTAGGGATTACTATTATAGCTATAAAATACTGGAGATTATATATATATATATATATATATATATATCTGGTATACATACAGTTAATGTGCCGGAATTTGATGCCTAGTGAAGTTACCTTAGTTAATTTTATTGCTATCAGTGTTTATTATAGGTGTCTATAACAATCGTTGCCACTACTATGGCTATTTCTTTAATTACTGCTAGCTACAAGTATAATACTGTTGTTATTAGTATTAATGCTTTTACTGAAACTTTGATCTCTAAATTTCTAAAATTTAAGTTGGAGAAATGTCATTCCCCTGATTCAAGCATTTTGGTAACTACTGATAGTTTTTAGGGAAAGAACCCAAACTCTTTAATATGACTCATAATTTCCTGCAGAGTATAAATCCTATGAGCCTCGTTTTTAGCCACTTCCTTCTTGCCCGCCACATTATACCAAAATGACTAATATTTTAGTTTCTTCCACCACAATGAAAGGACTCATTACACAATGAGTACTGCCTATTATGATAGAAGCAATCTTCAGGATTGTGGGCAAAATAGTCAAGAATGCTATACTCAAAAAGCATATTTCAGGAAGGAAGAGATTGTGGAGACAGATAATAAGTAAATAAGTGAAAATGATTAACAGTCAGTTAAACATGCCTGGGAGAAAGTTCAGCACATGAGAGAAACTGAATGGTGAATATTAGGGGATAGATTGGTTAGGAAAGATTTCTTTGAGAATGTGACATTTAAGGTGAGATGTGAATGAGAAAAAGAAATGAAATTAACACTCCAGGCAGAAGGAGCACCATGTGCAAAAGTTAGAATTAATTTTAGTGAATTCATGAAAGTGAACAAGAGGCAGAGTGACTAGAGTTTAGTGAGAACAGTTTAGAGAATTATAAGAAAAAATCAAAAGTTTGGGCACAGTCAGATGCCTCAGGCCCTAACCTGTGAAAGGGCCTATGCAAAATGGGAAGTGATTAGAACTTAATGCCATAATATGATGTACTTAATTACAGTTTCAAAGACAACTTCAACTGCTTTATTGAGAATTGACTGGAGGATTATTGTCATGGAGACCTGTTAGAGGGCAATAATGATAATCAAAATGAAGTGTGATGATTATCTCAAAAAGGGTCATAGCAACAAAGATATAGATATGTGGACACATTCATGCAACAAGTATTCAGAAGTTTTACTTCCTTAAACATTTGATGAGAAAACGTCTCAAAGAGAAAAAGGAAGTGTTTTTACTAAGTTCCTGACTTTTAGCAGCTAGATGAACAATGCAAAAGACTGGATGAGAAATAATTCTAAAGTAGACCATCAAGACCAATATTATATATTATGTTATATTCTGTAAGATTTTTCTAATAACTCTTCTTTCCTCCTCTACTGGTAGAACCAGTTGATTTTTGCAGCTAGACACAAAATAATAAAGACTGCAAGGGTAAACAAAATGGAAGCAGCAATGACTTTTTGTGAGAGACACTGAGAATTAGCTAAGCAGAGCATGAAAAGAAGATGGGACATTGTAAGTACTGAGTATATTTACACTCAGCAATAATTTTATTTAAATGGAAGTCTACTACCATCAGTTAAGCAATAAAAACTGCAATGAATCACTAAGACATCATGGTTTTTGCCCTCTAGGTGAGATTATACTATTGTTTTTCATGAATGAAATCACCATGACCTAATCTAAAACTTCTGTATTACTATTAGCTTTTTAGTATTTAATCTGTTAAAAAGGGAAAAGACAGTATCAAAATGCAGTTCTTCCTGCCTAGCCACACCCATATTTTATACTTAACTGAATTTCAATTTCAACAGCTCCCAGAATGCAATTTTTAGGCCCACCAACCCATCAGCACTAGTGATTGAATCTGCATAATAAAGCATACACCCCACAGCCTTGCCCTGAAGGAAGGCATCTTTGTCTAAAATAATCTTTCTTTTGCTGATAACCTTTTGAACCCTTTCTGTGTATAAAAAACATTCCATTTTGTATAAGCTCCTTGCAGAGCCTTTCTTTCTTTTTTAAAGCTTTATTTATTTATGCATACAAGAGCTGGGGTGCAGGCCAGAGGTGTGGGACAATGGGAGGATTCACCAGAGACAAAGTTGGGAGTAGAACAGGCAGATCTACTCAAATATACTGCTGAGGGGTGCAACAGGTGAGACAGGAGAGGTCTGCTGTGTCAAGTGGGTCAGCTTCCTGGCGGGGATCGAACTTGTGCTGCAATGGCTGTGGCTAGCTTCATAATGCTGAGAGTTAACCCCTTGCATCACCAGGGAGGGCCTGCAGAACCTTTCCATATGTTAGATGGGATGCTTCTGGATTCATGAATCATTTAATAAAGCCAATTAGATCTCTAAATTTATGAATTCTATTTTTTAGCCCATCTAATTGCACTTACTTCTCTGTGTAAAAGAGTCATTTAAATTTCTATATTTACTTTATGAGTATCTAGTGTCATTTATGAGATTTGGGTATTTAATTTTTCTGCTGAGTTTGACCAAAACTCTTGAAAATATATTTTTGTTAAAAAACCCTCTTTTGGGCCTCTCCAGTGGCACAGTGGTTGAGCGCTGGTTTGCGAAGCTGCCCGCAGCCTCTGCAACGCAGGTTTGATCCCTGGCCCCCAGGAGAGGGACCCACATGGAGCGCACCCGCTGCTCCCCTCAGCAGTGCATTTTGTCAGTCTGCCTGTTCTGCTCTCCTCTCTGGATCTGGTGGATTCTCTCACCCTCCCGCACTTCTGACTGTGCCCAGTGCTTGTATAAATAAATCTTAAAAAAAAAAAAAAGTGCTAATTAAAAAAAAAAAAACCTCTTTTCAGAACCTTGTTCTGACAAAAAAAAAAAAAAAACCTGAACCACATGAAATTTAACTATTATATATTTTTTTCCTACCTTTAAATATGTACTTCAAAGTCAAAGGTAAGCAGAATAACAGTGACGTGTTAGTCAAAAACAAGTTTGCCACCTCAATTTGAAATAAATTATGCTCTCTAGTCAAAACTATGTATGAACAACTACTTCTTAATATTTTCACTGATATTATAACTTATCAAGGAATATTTCTACCCAGTTTTCTAAATGCCATCTCCTGAAAACTGGCACTTGAGTTATATACAAAGCATTAGTCTTTGGTTAAAGTGTATTGGTTAGAAATACACCATTTGCCTGCAAAAACTTCTTTTTGCTAGTGTGATAAATAAAAGAACAAGAGAAAAAATATTGGTTAATAAGCAATATGTGTCATATCATGTTTGGAAAGTAAATTCAAACTAATTTAATAGTGTGGTATATTTTAGGTAACAAAAAAATTAGTTCCTACCAGGAGATAGAAATACCAAGAACTATCTTATCTTTTAAAGTTTTTTTTTTTTTTTTTAATAGAGGCATGTTTTATTTACTTATTTGTTTGTTTGTTTGTTTTGTTTACACATGCACTGGGTACAGTCAGAAGCGCGGGAGGGTGAGAGAATTCACCAGAGCGAGAGCGGGGAGCAGAACAGGCAGAAGGACCGAAGTACACTGCTGAGGGGAGCAGCGGGCGGCAGGAGAGGTCTGCGCATCATGTGGGATCCTCCCCTGGTGGCCGGGGAGCAGCCGGGGATCGAACCGGCGCCGCAGAGGCCGTGGGCAGCTTCGCAACCCAGCGCTCAACCGCTGCGCCACCAGGGAGGCCCAAGAACTATCTTATCTTAATGTAACTGTGCCTGAAATTTATCTGGCTTTTTTTGTAAACGGGTAATACATCTTCAAAGCAATTTGGTCTTTGGAAATTGATAAGCATTTCCATTTCAAACAAACAAAAAATATATGTCATTCCTTGTAAGATGGTTACATCTGCTGTTCAGCCACTGAATGATATCCATTACTCACCAGAGAAATTGATTGCACTGTCCTGCCTATTTATGTTATCAATGCAGATTAATTTTAGTGATATGTTTATTTTAGGTTATCACACCATGTTAGAAAATGTTCTATCAGGAGGACTAAATTTATGAATTCTATTTTTTAGCCCATCTAATTGCACTTACTTCTGAAATGCTCTGTGTAAAAGAGTCATTTAAATTTCTATATTTACTTCATGAGTATCTAGTGTCATTTATGAGATTTGGGTATTTAATTTTTAATTTAAATTTGGGTATCTAATTTAATCTCACGTGTCAAATGGAACACAGAATTTTCATTGAAATTCCCAATAGGAACTCTTTAGACCAAATATCAGGTTATACTCAACCCTGGCATATTCACAATTTTTAAGCAATAAACTGAATAAACTAAAATAAATATTCAACCAATAATGACTGAACTCATATTACAGAATGAGAAAAATATAGAGGTTACTAAACTGATAATTCAAGCATCAAATGAGGGAAAACGTAAGAAAAACATTCATCTATTCATTTTCATGATCTTCCTTACCAAAACAAAGAACAATGAAATTTAGCCTAGAGAGAAAGAAAGTCTCTTCTTTCAGAGTGGCAGGTATTTAACAGTAAAAAAAAAAAAAAGAAAGAAAAAGAAAAAAGATCTGAGAGTCAAATGGATATTTAATATTGAAGTAGTTGCTTAACCATTCTGAGTTTTAATTTCCTCATCAAGAAAAAACATTCTAAAAATGTTCAAGTAAGGCAAAAGACTGGTACTTCACCAACATGTTAGTTCTTGTTGGAATCAGTGAGATATCACTGTTCTCACAGGAAAATCTGCCCCAACAGACATCTTGTGAGAAACAGAAACAAATCAGTGGGGTTCCAGGAGACTGGAACAGAGTTCACAAAATAGAAGGTCACTCAGGACCTGAGGAACTGGGTTCTATCTTTGGCCCCAAGCAGCGACTATTAATCTGTACAGTAACTAATCTTGCCACAGTGATGATTCATGTCCACACAATACTTGCAAACTATTGTTTTCACTATTGTTGCAAACGCATCATCTCCCCTCTATTATAAAAGTCTTTCAAAGGGGCCCTCCCTGGTGGCCTACGGGTTGTCTCAGCGATATCACCACGAGGGCCTGAGTTCCATTCCATCCTGAGTTTGATCCTGTCCTGAGTTCCATGCCAGCCAAGTTGCTTACCCACATGGCACAGCAGACCTATCCTGTCTTGTCCACTGTTCCCCTCAGCTGTGTATTTCAGCAAAACCACCTGCTCTGCTCCCCACTCTGTCTGTGGTGAATCCTTTCACCCCCCCCCCCACCTCTAGCCTACACGCCAGCTCTTCTATGCAAAAATAAATAAATAAAATCTTTAAAAAAATTATTTCAAAGGGTACTCATTCCCAGCTTACTCATGGTTATTTTTGCATACTGGAATCTATAGATTGCCATTTGTTCTGTATACTCAATTGCTAACTAATTGAGTCTCTTTACATCTCCAATTCAAATTACTGCATTAGATACAGACACTTATAATCATCAGTATTGAAAAATTCTCATCATTTTAGGATATTCAATGGGACACTGCTTAGCCTATAAATTAGGTGATTTAGAGTCAAATAAACTCATCCAATCAGCTCTTCCCAAGATTGTAGACCATATGACAAAGATCATGATCACATACCTAAAACTAGATAAACTCCTTCTGCGGGAGGTACAGATGTGGTGATTTCTCTTAGAATTTATAGATATTCTTGCTGTTCAGTATGGGTCTGATATCTAATGCATGAGGAAAACTAATAACTGCGCCAACACTTTTTTTGAGAAGAAAGTTTATTGCACAGTTGACCCGCAAGCAGACTGGATGCAACTCAAGTTACTCTTCCTGAGGCAGGGGCTTGGGCAATATTTATAAGGTTTGGGGAAAAAAAAGATATAGAAAAATGAAAGTTGGTAGTCTGATTGGTCACATCTTTCTGTGCCCATAAGTGACCAGTCATATAGCTAGCCACCAGAACGTTCTTGTTGATGGACCACTCACCTTGGATAGGACTCCAGATTAGAGACCTTTGGACTGTAACACACTCCTCGCTTGGAAATATTATCCACTAGACTGTGAGCAGATGGTTCTGCTTTCAGCAACAATTTTCATTCTGGGCAATAGAGCGCTAACTCCAGGTCAGTGAATACTCCTGGGTTTAAGCTCTAAAACACAGCTTGAGAAAGCCCTGTTAATTTCTACCCCCGCCAGTTTTCTTTAGTCAAGCTCTGCAGCCTTTGCGAAATAAGTTGGAGATTAAAACAAGCAGGAGAAAAGGAAAGGGGAGATATAGGGGAAATGGTGAATCAGGAGGCAAATCTTTACAAAACAAGTTTTGATTATCTTGTAAAAACCAAGCCCTGACCATGGTTTAAACTATTTATTTGAAGTACAGAAGTAGAGAAAAATATCAGTGTATATATTTATATTTTCTTAAAGTTCAGTTTAGGTTGTTTATTAAAAATATTAGTGGTTACCTAAAAGGTGCCAGTTACCAGTTACTTAATATAAAGGTGTGGCATATTTCTATAGACATGACTTCACAGGTCTTTTCAGACTATGTCCATGGTAAAATTTATCATAGAACAATTGAAACTATTTGTTTTGTGTCTCATGTGACCTCATTAGACTATAAGTGCTTCAAGGTATGGGCTATTTCTTACTCAGCTATAAATCCCAAGAACATTCAATAAGTGTTTGTGGTCTGTTTTATGTCTCATAGTATATGTCTATAATTCAGCTGTTTTCCCCTTTGCTACAGAGACTATTGCAGTGTATGGTAAAACTTAAATTCTATTCTTTTGCTGGGAAATGTAACTTCTAGATTGAGTCCAACCTTTGTTTTTCTCCTGCAGGCAAGTGTAAGCTTCATGGAGCTGAAATTTTCTGTCTATTATTTATTGCTCTATTTTCTATAGAGTTTAAGACCCAGTACATATTAAATCTTCAATAAATGTGGTTGGAAGCAAGGGAGAAAGACACACATACATACATACACACACACTCAAACAAACATATGCACACATCATCTATTTAACACAGGTAAACATCTTCTCAATCTCTAATTGCTTGTATGGTTAGTTTCCAATCATTTTGTGTTTATCGCTATAAAGATAAAACTTGTATACCACAGCAGATTGGTGAAGCCAGCTAGGCAATAACTTATTAATTTGACCAGCTTTATTAATTTAAATGTAGCATATATGTGCTTAACTTTAAAGCACTACAAACACTTCTGTTTAGAAAGTACTAGATAGAATAATTTATGAATTTTTATGTTCTTTAATATTTTATAATCAAAATATTTTTTGGAGAAGTTTAAGAATATCTGTAATATATAATGTTAGCTCTGTCAGAAATAGTTTTATGGATAATAACAATGATAAAAAAATACCAAGGAACATATATACCAACACTTCTTGACGCAGAACAAAACAAATCTTAAAACCCAGAGATATAAAAATATATTTAAGAGAGTAAAATGGGAAAAAACTTTCTTGCACATAAAAGATTTTCATTCAATGATAAAATGTTCTCCCATTCCAAATGTCTCATAACCTTATACCAACTATTTTTGTTTTTTTAACAGTGTCAACAAAACTCTCCAGCTGGCTTCTTTTATATGGTGAGAGAAATTTTACTGATTTTTTCTATATGGTAATTTTACTAAATGACTTAAAGAGTAGGTTCTGGAGGAGGAAGGACTTGCAAAACAAGAGGCCTAGATTCAATTTTTACAAATGCTGTGATTAATGTTCTTCATTCCCAAAATTGACTCACACCTCTTTCTCCATATTCTGCTTCAGAGAAATAACAGAAATTATTAAGTTCAAACTGCCTATCATGCCTCTCCCTGGGGTGTCCCATGGATATTTGTCACTTCCTTCTCCAAAATACCTGACATTTTCAATAATACAGAGCAAATGCAATTTTACTAATGTATATTAGGGGGTTGCTAGTAAAAAAATCCAGGCGGACATCTTTAACTTTCTAAGCTACTGATTAATAGGTTATCACTTGTTATTTTTTGTTTTGTTTATTTTAAGGCAGTGGGTCAAAAGTTCATAACAGCTTGAAACATTTACTGTTCAGAAGTTCTTTGTTTTTAATATTAATTTATTCTCAAAACAAGATAGGGAATATCAGATTATCAGATATTATCAGATGTTTTCTCAACTGATTGTGTTCCTTTCAAATTACTGAGAAATGAGGTCACCCACTACTTTATGAGGGTAGACAAGAAGGAATTTTTTCAAAGAAAGTTCTTTAGTCATAAACTTTTCATTGTGCTTCTCCTCTACAAGGTGGTACCTTCTCTGATGCCCAAGATGATTGAGAATATGAGAATATTCATTATACCAATTCTTTCATGAGATATGAAACTAACTAGCATGTAACATTTCATAAGAAATGCACAAAGTATACGTACTATGTCATATATCATGTTTTCTGATCCTTACCCTCAGAAATTCTATAAATTAGCTCCTGAAAATGAAATAGACCAACCCATATGGCTCCCTCCTTTCTGGTTACACTTTATTAAGTCCATGTATTCTTGTGTGGGGGAATGCATAGTCATATTACAAATGATTAGGTTCTTGAATGTCTGGGCAAGAATTTCAGGGTTCCCTGACATACACTTTTGTGACTTCATACGTGCTACTCTCCCTTCCTATTCTTCCTGTTCACTTTCTTCATCTGTTTACCTTCTTGTCATGAATAAGTCCCTTTCTTATATATTTATTTTTATTTTTTTTAAATCTTTACACAGTACTCTTTCTTGATATTCATTGCAATGGATTATACTTCCATAAGCCCCCTGAGAAAAAGAAGTCAAATTAGTACAGGACTTGTCGTGTGGCAAAAACACAAATATTTGCCTGAGTAAATTAGTTGATGGTATATTACTTTACCATTTGGCAGGCACATTACAAAATATAATGTAGTCAGTGATGAGGATAAGGGATTGAACTAGTGGAAACACTTCATAGAAAATGATATGTAATGACAAAATTATGGATATGAAATTCACTAATATATATGAGAGTAAGTGTAAATTCTCTCTTTTGCTTATCAGCAATAGAGACAATATTATCAGTTTTACTGGTGGGGACAATAATTTTAGGAAAGGAAAAGGGGAGATTAATTAAGCTTCTCTTTCCTCTGACTCACAGAGTCTCTTGCCAATACAGTATTAAAGTGAACTGTAAAGAGATTATAGGGCCCCTATTTCTCCCACATAATCAGTTCATGTCCTTCATAAAGTTTGTGCAATAGGGACATACTCTCTCAGGGTTATAATGAAAGTTGTATTCCTGTCAGCCTTACGATGCAGACCTCATTTTTTTTTTTTTAATGAATGGGTTTCTACTAAAGGGAGATCCTAAAAACAAAAAGTTGAAAATCAATTAATTTACATAAAATGTCACTTCTCAGAATCTTTTATTATAGCCTTTCTAATGAACTCACCAAATTAAAGAAAAATAGGTGTTTTTCTTCATTTTCTGGTTTAGTGTTATATTTGAAAATATCAATGGTCAAATATCAATTAGTGTAGGGTTTTTCAAAGGTCCAAATATTATAAACATAATTATGAATATATTATAAATAAAGATAATCAGAAGGATAAAGATAAATATTGTATGTTACAATGGATAAAATACAAAGCAAAATCATAAACTAATTGGAGTCATAAATGAGGTGATATTTCTGAGGATAAGAATAAGGGAGAGGTTTTTTTGAAATGGGCTGTTCTCACAGGTATGAGGTGATATTTTATTGCGTTTTTGATTTGCATTTCCCTGATGATAAGTGATGATGAGCATTTTTCCATGACTGTTGGCCATCTGCATGTCTTCTTTGGAGAAATGCCTATGAAGTTCTTCTGCCCATTTTTTGATTGAGTGTTTTTTTTTTTGTTGTTGATTTGTATAAATGCTTTGGAGATCTTCAATATCAATCCCTTATCACTGACCCTTGAAAGCAGACCATAGGTGTTATGGAGGACTGTGGGTACTCTGATAATGGGAAAACTATGGTGAACACACCTGAGGAGATAAATCCTATACTGTGGAAAAATAACTAGAATGTTAAAAGAAAGTCAACAGCATCATTTCCTGATGGTAGAACACAATAGCACTTATGAACTATTCTTGACAAAATATCAAACCTTTATCCCATGAAATCAGTCTCCCACCTTCCTAGGAAATTGAGGGAGCTGGAGGCCTCCTCTGGTGGCGCAGCGGTTGAGCGCTGGGTAGCGAGGCTGCCCGCAGCCTCTGCAGCGCCAGTTTGATCCCCGGCCACGGGCAAGGGTCCCACCAAAAAAAAAAAAAAAAGGAAATTGAGGGAGCAAAAGTATATATGAGATAGCACCACAGAGATATAATCAGCAAATCTTGCATGTAGTGAGCTCTAAGAAAAAATGACCCTATGTCTTCAATAAACAGAATCGAAAGACAGAAAGAAAAAGGGAGGAAAAAATGTAAAACTTGGCATACAGAACCAATTTTACACACTAAAAGGTGAAAATATGAGAAAGTTGGGAAAATCTGAACCCCCCAACCATCTACCTAGTGATTTTTGAAGATTTAGCATTCATTTTGGGAACATAATGATGGTAATGCAGTAGAATATTAAAAGTCATTATATTTTAAAGTAACTAAAATATTTATGAATTCATTTATATGATGACTGGGAATTGAGTCAAAAGGATCCGGGAGGCATGCAGAAAGGAGAAAGTGGGCAGCAGAACAGCATAAACAAGACTGGGCACTGATTGAACATTATTGAGGTAGATGCCAGGTATAGGGAGACCTTTAAACTATTCTCTTTATTTTGTATATGTTTGGTATTTCACCACCTCACCATTAAGGACTCCTTGTTAGCTACCTTGTGCATGGGCTCCAGCTCTTTGCCCTGTTGCTCCGCACTATTTCCTCTCTTCTGTATGATTTCTCTTTTTCTGGGTCCATCTCATTGACCTATCCTGTTATATGCACACACAGCTGTCCATCTCCTATAATTAAATGCAATCCTGCCTTTGTGAACCCAAAGGCTCACAAATGTGTTCTTTTAAAACCAGAAGCTACCTATACTAAATACCCACCCTTAGCATCCCACACTGGCAAAGATATTAAAATATCAGACTCATAATCAGCTTCTGAAGAGAGGAAGAGAGCAGTAAACATATTTTATTTCCTTTGCTGAAATGAATTGTACAGTGACTACTTTTAAAAGGCAGAGATGTTTAAGATCAAGTGAAGTTTTACCTGCCTTTTGTGGGGGTCCCTCTCTATGACCATTACTTTTTATATGAGTATATCACTTGCTGGAAGGATATAACATTCTGAAATAAATTTGGAGTTAAAAAAATTCTCTCATAATTCAGATTGAAAACATATAAAGTGAATGCTTTGAATATTTCAGAGACTTTTCTAGTGTGGCAATTTTGCACTTTAAATTATGTATCTTATATCTTAATTTGAAAGGAGAGGTAAGTGTACCATCTATAAAAATGTCCCTTTAAGTCATTAATAGAAATTTCCTCCAAATTAGCATTGCACATTTTAATTCCATTTCTGGCTAAAGTTCATATATCATCCACTTACATAGGCTTAATAGAAAATCATTCTTCCTTTTCCTCACTCGATGACAGACCATTCAGAGTTTATGTTATATACAGAATTCAGGATAGGAAGTTAATGAAGGTTAGTGAATTTCAGTGGATTAGTGAGTCCCTTTGATTAGGGTTTCCCTTAAAATTAGATTAAGGAAACTTCATATAGAGGACAATCTTCAAGAAAATAACAAAATTTTCTTACACTCCAGTGTAGTCAGTTGGGTTGAAATTTGAGGTTTTGATCACAGTAACCCCAGGTTCTCTTCCCCACAGTTCCAATCCATGAGTTTCATCAGCTCCCTCACACTTAATGATGGGAAGTTCTGGAAATCAGATCCCTTCCAAAGGGATCCAGTCGGAAGCCTGAGTCATAATGCTCAGTTCCTATGTGGAAGGAGCTTTAACTGTATGCCAAGCATGTTTTCTGTGCATTCCAAAAGCTTACGTTATTAGGACTGACTCTCCCAGTGCACAAAGTAGCTACAATATGAAAGGATATCACCATCACTTAGCCTCTCATTTGGACTAACCACACCTAAAAGTTGTTTCTAAACATTTCAGTCACCAAAAAATTACTCCTGACAATGTATTTGCCATACTCTTAAGTTTTCTCCAACATGTTCCTATTACAATCTTGTGTTCTCCAGCTTACATATATTTCTCCTACTTTCAACAAAGAAAAGTGGGACTCTTTTTAATGTAGCTGTTGATAGCATTGGCATTAGTATCAGAAGTTTCAATTTAAACCATAGCTCTGAAATTCACTAAGACTAGACCTGATTATATAACTTACCTTCGATAGCCTTAATTTATTCATCTGCATAAAGGGAGGTATTTTTAAATAATTTTTAAATGAGATAATGTTCATAGAACATGTGCCATACATTATAAGCAATCAACCTTGGCTGATTGTTTTTAAGAGAATTTAAACAGTATAGCTTACCTAAGGTTCACAATTAATCAATGACATATTTAAACATAGGATTATAGACCTAATCATACCA